AACAATTGACATTGTCGCATTGTTCATTTACTGAGACATTTTTAAAACTATTTTTGTTTGATAAAATATTTGGTTTATGTCAATCTTGTGTGCTTGCTGGATACTGAGTTTTTAGTGTGTCGTCAAAGTATGATTACTTATCTCAGAGGTAGATTCCTCAATCTTTTTTTATTGGTGACCTCTTATCTTTTTTTTTTTTTTAACTTCATGTTCTGTGATTATTTTTTCAAGCGTGATTAATTTTATTAAAAAATGCTACAAATGGGTTTTTATGATATCAACATGTTTCTTGATTGAAGTTTGATCTTATACTCCTTAATTTACTGTGGATTTTACTGGGTTTATTTTAATTACTATTTGTGTTGTTTTTATTACTCTTATTTGCATCAAAAGTTTTCCAAGTAACTATTTCATTGATTGTCTTTAACATTTGAATTCTAACTTTTAAGTGCTTGAATTTCATTCATCACATCATTTAGAATCATAGAAATCCATAACCTAAGGCACACTACGTAACAATCAATTGCTGAAGAAAGAAAATGTGGGAGGAAATACTCACTTAATTCTCATTACCGATCTTCAACCATAAGGCTACACACATAGGAAATCGGTCCTTTGTGATTTACAATCTTACCAAATACATCTATCATAAATATGGAAAGGAAATAATTCTGAAATAAACATAAGTAGGAAGGCAATAAAAATTAATCTAGGCGTTTCTCAAATTGTCTCCAATTAATCTATCCATCATTCCTTGGATGGTCGGTTTGGGCGGACTATGAAAAGGAGGCTGATCCTCCTAGATTTCCACATTCCTCCGCAAGTTGGGTTGTAGATGTTGTAGAGACCAAGTTTATTCTTGAACTTTGAGAAGTTGCTTAAAGGAAGAGTTTTGGTGAAGACACCGACAACTTGCGGGGCATAACTTAGCTGTATAATTCCATCATTAACTTTTGTGATAAATATCATATCAATGTCAATATTTTTAGTCATGTAATGATGCACGTGGTTCTCGACAAAACATATAGTTGCCTGACCTGATAAAATATTTGTATAGGTCTATTAGAGGTACTCAATTCTTGGAACAATTTCATAGATTCGTAAGGTATACTCTGATTTTACAATGTTTCTAGGGACAACAATTTGTTTGTTATTTCTCCATGTGACCAATTTTCCTATACATAGGAGCAATAATCTGTGGAGAACCTTCTATCAGTGAATTTCTTAGCCTAATTTGTTTCAATGTAGACTTTTATCTCTCTGCTTTTGGCTCTCTAAAAAATTAATTCATAACCAGGAGTTTTTTTTTGAAAAATCTTATGATTCTGTACACCAAGCAAAATACTCTTTATTTAGTTTATTCATATGTTGACTAACAATACTAACAGAGTATGCAATATCTGGCCTAGTACGTGACAGGTAGATTAGTTTTCCTATCAATTTTTTATATCTTTCCTTATCCATAGATATAGTTTTTTCTCTCTTATTAGACTTCTTGTTGGGACCTATTGGAGTATTTGTATTCAATCATTTTTATCTCATTTAGCAAATCTAGGTTTATTTCCTTAGTGATCTAACAATACCTTTTTTGGACCTTGTTACATTCATACCTAGAAGATGTATCATGATTCTTTGTTTTTTTTATTTGTTTTTTTATTTCAAACTTAGCGGCAAACTTTTCTTTGATTTTAAGAATTTTTTTCATTATCACCAGTAAGAATCATATCATTTACATATACTATTAGTGCGATAATCTCACCTCATAGAATGTGTTTTATGAACAATATATGATCAGCTTGACTTTGAAAATATCTATTAGATCTCATAGTTTTAGTAAACCTTTAAAATCATGCCCTTGCAGATTGCTTAAAACTGAGAGGAACTTGTTGAGTTTGCATATTAGGTATTTGTTGGAATTATTCTCAAGTCCTGATAATATCTACATGTGCACTTCTCTTCAAGATCCCTATTTAGGATGATATTTTTTATGTCTAGTTTATGCAATCCCAACTTCTTATTAACTATTACTGAGATGAGAACTCTGATAGTGTTTAGTTTGACAACAGATGCAAATGTCTCCTCATAGTCAATCTCATGGGCTTCAGCGAAACCTTTTGTAATCAGTTAGCTTTGAGTCTCTCAATGTCACCACCAGCTCTATAGTTGATATTGAATACACATTTGCATCTATTTGACCTCTTATCCCGAGGAAGTTTAATAAGAATCTATTGTCATTATGCTTTTATACTTAAATCCCTCTTTAACAATTTTCCCCTATTCTGGAACTTTGAGAGCTTCATGAATGGATTTAGGAATCTGTACATTATCAATATTAAATACAAAAACATTATAAAGTGAGGATAGCTTCCCATAAGCTACATACTCAATAACTAGATATTTAGGCTGACTTTTTGTTGAATCTAAATATGTCATGTGGATAACACCTACGGCATAGAGCGTTAGACGAATAAGAGGAATATAAATGAGAGATTGAGAGAGAACAGATTGCACATTAACATTAGTTTTGAGAGAGTAAATTGAGTAATTCTCTATTGATATATAGTAAAATTACATGTTTATCCCTATTTTAATAAGGACATTACAAGTCATTATTACATATTTTCGTGTTTGTAATCGACTCTAGGACCCTTTCATATTCATAACTGACATCATCACCGTTTTGTAATCATAACAGCTTGAAGAGGGGCATTTAATGACCCTTTAATCTTGTCATTCAGTCGGCTGCATACCTTCGATCGGCTAAGAGGTCATCGGTCAGCCTTTTCAATGGAATTTTGAGCAGAGATTGTCTTATCGTTAAAGTGAACTTAGACCTTTAGGTAGATGGTGTATCATAGTAATATGACGAGCTGTTATCCTTGGACAAGGAGCATTCTTAGAGGATCAGATACGTGCGCCACAGGGTGCCCTTCGACCTTCTTTATGAAGAATTTCAGAATCTTCCGAGGGAGTTGGTTACGAGCGATTGTCCCTTGGGAGACTCGTTGAATTTCCTTGAGATTCATGCGTTCATAATTTTGATGTACATATTTAGTTCCGACCGAACGAAATGACACTCGGCATTTTTGTCTTTTGATTATCCCGATACATTGCATTTAGTGTTCATAAACGAGACTCGTTGAATTTCCTTGAGATTCATGCGTTCATAATTTTGATGTACATATTTAGTTCTCTGATTCTCTTATTACTTGAAAGCGACAACTACGATAAGAATAAAAGACCTAAATGTAATAATTGACTTATTTATTGACTTGTTAGCTCAAAAGGTTGGTAGGAGGAAGCTGTCTAGAGGGGAAGTTGCTTAAGCGAGTGATTCAGAAGAAATAAAGAGTGGAGGAAGCGGTCGGGTCATTTGACTCAATGCTGCTCCATCGTGAGACAGGGAGTAGGGTTGATGTGCACATTATTGGAGCGGCCGGCTCAGCAACCGGTCTAGGTGGTTGCGGAGACCCAGGTCCAACCGCGTGAAGGTGCGCCTCCCTTTCCTTTATTTGGTGAGGCCATCCAGTCGGTTGTTCAACCGCTTGTTGGTGAGTGCCTCCGATCGTTTGAGATAGAACGAATCATTGGTACGAGAAAACCCAATTTTCTTTTACTCAATAGATTTGTTCTTTTTTCTTTTTCTGAAATTTGATTATTCTTGCTGAGGAGATCGTGTAGATTATCGACTCATTTATAATGGAAGCCAACCATCCCTCTGCTCTATAGGCAGTCGAGGGGCATTCTATTCCGGCCCATGGCAGAGGCTCACTCAACCACTTATCTGCCCTGCGGACATTAAGAGGGAGGCCGATGGTCGACGAGGATCATCAGAGTCGCTGGCTATCTGGATAGACGAAATGGTGGACTCTGTCTAGAAAGTTAGCTTGTAGAGGGAGGTTGTCATAACAAACCTGAAGGAAGAACTGACTGTCCTTCAAGCGGACATGGCGATTCTCCGGATAGAGGGGGCAACACTTCGGATGGAGCTGGTAGAGGTTTGGATAACTAGTTTTATCTCCCGGATTCGAGTGGAGGAAGAGAGTGTAGAGAAGTTTAAATTTGGGGGTGTAACGCCCAAATTTCAAGAAACCATGTAAAATTTGGCAGATTTGAAAACTTTCCCAAATTTTACATCTCTTGGAATTCAATTGAAATAATATTATTAAATTCTACACATGAAATCGATCAATTCCATATAAAACACCATAAGTTAATTATGAATGGATTGAGAAATATAAAATTCGGAAGTTATATATTTATTTAACCTAATAAATCATAATTACCCTAATTAACTAAATCCTTAATTCTCTGCTACTGTTGCCCACCTCTCATGCCTTTCAATCCCTTTGTTTCGTTGAATCGTGAGTTCCAGTTTTGATTTTCTCCTTCAGAATTGCTCTTTCTCGCAATCCCCCTCTCTATTCCTTTCATGCAGGCAGAAGCGAGCTGCGACCCTTGCTGCAGTGCAAGGGCGGGAATAGCAGCGAATCAGACGGCACAGAGAAGCTGTAACTCGGGATTTTAGGGCGCCGACTTGATTTCTGCAAGCATGAATCCCTCTTTCATGTCACTTGAGACCTTCATTTCCTTCATCTCAAATTCATTTTGACATTTACCTCGTTTTTAGTGCTTTTCTCATTTCTGACAGTCGTCAAAGGCGCTTATTTTGCGCTAGAAGTTTGGTAATTGATTTTGCGAGCTTTTAAAAATATTTTAGCACAAAATCATGAAGAAAATTATTGTCGGAGGTGATAAGAAGGAGGAAATGTTAAATTGGTGATTTTGGAAAGGCAAATTGATGCCAAAAAGCTCTTTTGAGATATGTTTTGACATTTAATGTTTGTTTTTGGGTTAATGCATGTTTTGAGCCAATCTTTTATGAAATTCTATATTGTCTACGAGCCCAGGCTATTTATAAGGAGAAGCTGGATAACAGATTATTGAAACTACGTCATATAACTAATGGAGAGCAGGTGACTGACTTACTCACTAAAGGACTTAGTTCAGTGGAGTTAGCTAGATTATGTGACAAGATGGTCTTAGTGAATATCTTTCACCCATCTTGAGGGGGAGTGTTGTGAGCTATGTGTAATTAGAGTGTAGTGAGTTATTGTAATTAGAGAGTTTTATTGGTTTTATTTGTTAAACATTGTAACACATTTAAACACGTATGTTGAATTAAATAGTAAGTTTTCACATAAAAAAATCATTTGACATCCATTATTATAATCTTTCCACTAGATCTGCTACTACTAAAATTGCATTCCTTGTGTTCGGTTTTAGATTTACTAAAAAAAGCCTTATAGAATTTCAAGTTTACCTCTGCTAATTCAAAATTTTCCCAAATTTTGAATTAATAGTGTTGTGAGTTATGTGTAATTAGAGTGTTGTGAGTTATTGTAATTAGAGAGTTTTATTGGGTCTATTTGTTAAACATTGTAACACATATTTAAACACGTATGTTGAATGAAATAGTAAGTTTTTACATAAAAAAATCATTTGCCATCCATTATTATAAGCTCGCCACTAGATCTGCTACTACTAAAATTGCATTCCTTGTGTTCAGTTTTAGATTTACTAAAAAAAAGCCTTATAGACTTTAAAGTTTACCTCTGTTAATTCAAAATTTTCCCAAATTCTCTCTCTTTCTTTAGTCTTATCTACAAGAAGGATGTCATCATCGAAAATCGTACACTAAATTACACCCTCCTGTAAATGTTTCATAGGAACATTCATAACCAAAGCAAAACATATGGGTTTAAGGTTGATCCCTGATGTAATTCAATTGAAATAGGAAACTACTTGGTCAATCCTCCTTGTGTTTGAACACAAATATCAACTCTAGTATGCATATTTTTAATGACTTCAATATAAGCAATATCAACACATTTCTCTTCTAGAACTCTCCAAAGTTCATCGCTTGGAACTTGATCATAAGCTTTTTCTAAATCAACAAAAATCATATGTAGATTCTCCTTACTATCTCCATACCTCTCCATCGAACCTCTCAATAAATGTATAGCTTCCAAAGTAGACATGCCCAAAATGAATCCAAATTGATTTGTGCCACGAAAGAACGAAAAAATAGATAAATTGATTTGTGCCACGAAAGCTACAAAATCAAAATAGCCATCTTACAAGCACTTTACTGCAGCCAATTCACTCCTTTGTGGAATTTAACTTAAATTGAATGAATACGAAAATCATGTCAAATCATATGTACTAACTTATGCTATGAAATAAACGGCGGGACGTCCCTCATTCAACAATCATCATTGACATGTTTTTAATTATTAAATTAAGAAAACAAATATAAATCAACCAAAAAAATAGATAAATAAGTGTAAATAGATCACTTTTTGATGTCATGTCTTTAAATGGTATAAACACGAAGGCTTTCATCCCTAGGGCTTTGAATTCTGATTTAGAATTTTTTATTTCTTTATGAAGCAGTACCAAATAGGATTTCTGTATTTTTGATGAAGCAATATGTACAAGAATCTTTTTCATAAAAGTGGTAACTACTTGATTTTAAACATTTCTAGGGTACATACAATTTGTTGTATTTCTGATTATAGTACTTCCTTTACCATTGGTTTTCTGATACCTTTTCATCAATAGATTCTCACATTAGCTTGAACCAGAAGACTGACATTTTACCTTTTTGTTGATGCCACAGAGAAGTTACGTGAATTAGCATGGAGTGGTGTACCACCTTACATGCGACCTCATGTTTGGAGACTGCTTCTGGTAAGAATCTTATGTTGACAGTTTTTGGTACATTTACCTGTTAATGATTGTGCCTTGAATTTATTTACTCTTGATTTAGCAATAGGCAATAGGTTTGTTATGCATGGGAACTCTTGTTTTTGCTTATAGTTTCTACTTCTTATGGTGGGAAACTAATAACTTTAGACAACAATTTTTAGATTGCGCATTGAACCAAACCTACATTCATAGTTGAGGCAGGCATATGCTACATTCACAAATAAGACAAAGGAATATGTGTCCATACTTCTGCAGTTTCTACTTGTCAATAGAGTTTTATGTTTGACGTACGTAAAGCTATAATCAAATAACTTAGGCTTGAGCTTAGCTATTCAACCACATACTTCTGCTAAGTTAGGTTTAATTTCAATTGTTTCATTTAAATTAGTATTTGTGGATTTTTTTAAATTAAATTTAAAATTAATTATATATTCATATAATATTAAGTTTTAATTTGAACTTTTCAAAAGGATTTCATTAAATTAAATTTCAATCTTTTCGTTAGTAACTATTTTTTCTTAAATATGGATTCCAACTTCTTATAATGAGATCAGTGGTTTAATGAATGAAAGTTGATTCTTCTTGTAATCTCTCTCCCTTAATACTCTTCTTATTTGTTGCTCCTAGACCATACATTATTTAGTGTTAAATTTTGCATCTTGATACCCATTCGCTAGGTTACCCCACATGTACTTCTCCTAAAGCTGCTTTATCTTCACACTATTTTGCATCATATATTGTGCATCGCTATAATACCTAAACTCTACACTCACATTCCTCTGTACTCTTGCAATCTGCATCTTACATGCCATTCCTATCACGTGTCATACAAAACCCAATTAGTTTTGCTCTTACGTGATTCACCACAAATCCTGTGCATTCACTTGTGTGCACTCCTTGTCTTTCCTAGTATTTGATCACAACCATACTTATTTTGACCTTATCTCTGCAAAACCATCCCATGCTTCTATCCCTCTTCGCTTGTTCACCAGTTCATTTTTTCAACAAATCAATTGGTGTACATTAAATTTTTATCAAACATTAATCTCAAATTCTAGAATTGTTTTTGTTTAGTATCATACCTTTGATACAACCTATGCAATTTAATTGTTCATGATGCATGGTTTATTTGAGAAAATACATGCAAAGCATGTTTGTGAAGTCAAAAAATTCTCAAGGTTCACTATACTATCAATATTATTATTCTATTGATCTATTTAATAAACGTCATGATTTTCTTTTTTGAGGAATAGAGAAAAGTGCCAAAAACGGTCCTTTGACTATTTACATGGGCCTATTTTAGTCTCAAAGTCTAAACTTTCAATTTAGTCATTAGAATCTTTTAATGGGGTTGAAAAACACCTCTTTTTAAATGAGTCTAGTGCTATTTCAGCACGTATTAAAAAAATCTGGGGATTAATTTGATATTTTTATAGAATCGAGTATTAGAATGATCATTTGTAAAGAGCCAGGGATCATTTCGACATTTTTTTTGTTGAGGGTTTATTCTGAATATGATTTAGATGGACAAAATATTGCTTGAAACTTTTGGATAATGAAGTTGAGGATGCATCAATCATGTTTATATGTCTATGTAGGTTATGCATATATTTGTCCTAAATCTTATCATATTTCAACTTATGAAGTATATTTCAAGCCTCCTCGAAACCCTTTTCAAATGCTGTGAAGAGTTGAGAAAACTTGACAAACTCATTTCACATGTTTGTCCAACCCCACGAGTTTTAATGCTGCACTAGCTTCAGCAAACCCATTACCTACTCCTCCTTGTTGATGATTTCGTTGACAAAGTGGAAGATAATGTGCATGTGATTTTCTATTCCCATAGATGAGCTTGACCCAAAAATTGAGCATGATATTTTGTTATATGATGTTACTGTATTTGAGGTGTCTTTGGCCATTCCTTTAACTTTCCAACCTCTATAGATGGAGTGACAAGTTGTGCCTAAACTTTCTAAATTTTTTCTTACTCCATCACAAATTAAGTTTGTTTTACCATTGTTGCAGTTACCATGTGACTACAGAATTTTTTTTGGTGTTACTTTGATGATTATATATATTGCATGGTTTTTCTCGGGCACTTTTTTTTAAATAATCATACTACATATCTTGATAATGCTAAAGATGTTTTTGTGTCCTATACTTTCTAACATGGCTGCTAGACTTCCAAACAAGGGCCTTTATTGTTACTCTTTTATCGACATGTTTATTATGCCTAGTTGAATGGGTGTATAAATGATTTGATTTATGATTTATTTTAGTTATTTCATTTAGATTTGGTATTTTGTATTTTTTTTGTTGAAATCAGAATTTTCTATTAATTTATCACTTGGTTTCCGTGGCGCCAAGCCTTCTCTTCTGGCTATGCTGTCATTTCTATCTTCGGGGATACACTGCTGTTACTAGACAACCAAAAATTTCTTCTAGGCATATCAATTTAAACCTTGCAGACAGTAACTTCAATTATCTATCTAGCTTTTCACACTTTTTAAAATGTTCATTTTACATCAAATCTGTGTGAACACGTTGAATTCTATTAATCAAGTAGTCTCAAAACGCAACTCTGTAGACCTAACTTACAATTCAAGGTTTTTTTTTTCTTGGTAGGTTTTTTTCTTGGTATTTTTCTTGGTATTATACATTGTTCTAAGTATTATAAAATCAGTATACATTGAAGGAATCATAAGATAGACCTTTTGTTGCATGAATTTGAATGTTGTCATTTCGATCATCACAGAACGGTATTCCTTAATTACAATATTCTTCTATATATACTTCTTTTCCTGCTTCTTTTTAATTAACTTGAGCATAATTATATCTTTACCTTCTGAAAAATAGTGTAGGGATGATAAGCTAATTCACTGGAGTCATAAATAAAAGTTTCAAGAGTGGACTC